AGCAGCCCTAACTGGTTTGGCTCAGTGGATAGAGCGTCGGCCTGCGGACTGAAAGGTCCCAGGTTCGATTCCGGTAAAGGGCATGTACCTTGGTTGCGGGCACATCCCCAGTAGGAGGTGTGCAGGAGGTAGCTGATAGATGTTTCTCTCTCATCGATGTTTCTAACTCTCTATCCCTCTCCCTTCCTCTCTGTAAAAAATCAATTAACAAAATATATTAAAAAAAAGTAATAGCAATTGTCATACCTAACAGTGGCTAATTGTTGTGCTGGGCTCTTCAAATATGTCTATAATATAATGATACTCAGTCAAAAAGAAATGAAGAGAATGTCAGGGAAGGGAGGGGTCATGATGACAAAGAATATTCTCAGCGTGTAGAATACGCTTCAGTGGTCATTGCCCCACCTTTCATTTGAACACCTTGGGGGCCTTGACTCCTCTCCTTCTCTGATACTGAATCAGTACTGGGAACACCTTTGTTAAACAATCTCATCATAAATAAAGATTATCTTACTTTCAAGGAAAAGAGCCTGGGTGAATTTAGGGCTTGCCCTTATACACATACTAGGGGCCCAGTGCATGAATTCGTGCACCTTGAAAGGAACTGTGGACCAGGAGACTCCGGTGGGCACAGGGGTGGGCCTCAGCCCATCCTCCATGCCCCCGCCCAGCCCCTCCTGCTGTGGTCCCTAGTCCCTTGTCTGCCCACAGCCCCGCTCCCACCATCGCCGCTCCCATGCGCTGACAGCGCCTGCCCCGCTTGCACACGCTGACCGTGTGGAGCAATTGGGGCTGGCACCAGCAGCGGGTGTAAGTGGCAGCTCCAGAGACCAAGATGGCAGCATAGGTAAACACCGCAGACTGCTGCCGCAAACAACCACTTCAAAAATACACTCTGATACTGAATCAGTACTGGGAACACCTTTGTTAAACAATCTCATCATAAATAAAGATTATCTTACTTTCAAGGAAAAGAGCCTGGGTGAATTTAGGGCTTGCCCTTATACACATACTAGGGGCCCAGTGCATGAATTCGTGCACCTTGAAAGGAACTGTGGACCAGGAGACTCCGGTGGGCACAGGGGTGGGCCTCAGCCCATCCTCCATGCCCCCGCCCAGCCCCTCCTGCTGTGGTCCCTAGTCCCTTGTCTGCCCACAGCCCCGCTCCCACCATTGCCGCTCCCATGCGCTGACAGCGCCTGCCCCGCTTGCACGTGCTGACCGTGTGGAGCAATTGGGGCTGGCACCAGCAGCGGGTGTAAGTGGCAGCTCCAGTACCAGCAGCGGGTGTGAGCAGGGCCGGTGCCGGCAGCAGGTCAAAGCGCCAGGTGGGACCGTGGCGTGCAGGAGCAAAGAATTTTCAGTAACCACCTGAGGCTCGCTCCAATGACAGAGATCGATGCCCTGCCTTGATCTGGTGCCCCTGCTCACCTGTTCCACCATCCCGCCACAGCCGACGCCTGCCATGTTCCCTGCACACTACCAGTGGTCAGCACACATCATAGCGACTGGTTGTTCGGTTGTTTGGTTGTTCCACTGTTCAGTCTATTTGCATATTAGGGTTTTATATATAGATATCGTTCGTGGCAGAGGGCCTTGCTTGGGGTGAAACCTGTCTCAGAAAGGCCCAGATGCAGCTGCACTTGAACATCTGGCTGTCTACCTAGAACCCTCTTGTGGCTGTCTGCCAGAGCCTTGCCAGAAGGACTGAAGCACATACCTTCCTGAGAGTCTGATAAATCCTCCAGCCCAGCGGCCACCAACGGGTGGTCCTGGCTACTCACACCGATAGCTTGTCTGGTCTCGGCAGTCCCAATCAAGCCAACAGCCAGCCCCAACCACTTTCAGCTGAATGTCTTTTGTTTTCTCCTATGAGCTTACTCATATATGCTTCATCAGGAATAGATATTATCAGGTAAAAAAAATGAATATAAGTGTGTAAGATCAATAGGAAACCACAGTTAGAATACATGAATTTCTAAGTGACCTAATAAAATACTCAGGCATTTTGATAGTATGGATAGGAAAAAAAATAAGTTGGGAAAGTCCAGGAATCCTTTTTAGTGTCCATGTCTCCCCTTTTTGAGAACAACAAAGGAAGCAGTCTTTTGCTCCTCTTACATTCCCAACATGGGCAACAACTGAGTTCACAAATGAGAGTACGATTCTTAGTTACCACCTGAATGCTTCCATATGCCACTACTGTGCGAAGTGCTTTAGATGCATTATCTTATTTAATTCCCACAGCAACTTTTGGGGTTTTAGGAACTACCATTATCCTAAATTTTACAAATGAGAAAAGAGTCTTAGCAAGATTAAATAACGTGCCCAAGGTTACGTAAATTGTAAGTGGCAGAGTTGAGACTCAAACCCAGGCCCCCTGAATCCAGTGGATTTATCCCCATGCCATAATGCCTTAAAACAGCCTTCTGCAAGGCTTCGGCTTATGTTTCAATCTTCACTGCTGCTAATCAGTGAACTCCTTCAGGGCAGAATTTATTTCTCATTAATTTTTATATCCCAAAGCATGGGATAATGCCTGATACAGAGCAGAAACTCAATGACTGTCAAATGAACAAAATGATGAATTAATAAATAAAGGAAGGAATGACTTCATTTTAAAAGAGACAGAAAATTGAAGTCTGTGTGAAAAAAAAAGCTAAGACGACGCCAAGAATACAATTTCTGTGGTTAGTTTTGTGCCCTGCCATTTCTATTGTAGCAACATATGAGTATTTTATGATAAGCACCATTTTGACTATAGAATTAAATGAAATATTTTCAAAAATATGTACTTTTCAGGGATTTAAATGAATGATTGAAATTCCATATTCAGAACATGACACAACCAAACCAGCGTATAATCATATGTTTCCTATAATAAGCTACTTGAAGTGTTCTTAGGGTTACAATTTTGTAATCTAGACATGAGAGGAAGATCTGAGCTCTTGACAACATTCAACACAGGCACTTCAACTGCCTCTGGATAAAAGACAAACCCTCTCCTTCGCATTCCACAGATGTCCTCTCTTCCCTTATCAGTAAGCAGACAGTCCTAACCGTTACCTTCACATCCTCTGCCATCTTCCTCCAGCTTCTGGCCGGCTTGACACTTGCAGTAATAACTGCCAATTGTATTACAGCATTGGTTCTGACAGCCACCATTGTCAATGGCACATTCATTTATATCTGCAATTAAATATTTAAACAGAATTAGCCTCCTCTAAATAGACACAAAAATATTTTCGGGGCTCTCCTAAAATGTACCAGTACAGAATGATATTATTCTTTGACCTCAGATGAAATGAAATACAACTATGTATTATTCTAATTAGAGATAATGTACTCTAATCAAATGATATAACTGACTTTGAATCCTGGCTGTACAGCTGTTGAGATTGCTTTGGTTTATTTTTAGTTAACTTTTCACTGAAATGGGTCACATACACGGAAAAATATACAAATCTTAAGTATACAGTTCAAAGAGTATTCAGATTTAGACTATCCCAATACAACCACAATAAAACCACAGTACTAGCACCCAAGGATTTCCCTGACTGACTGATGGTAACCACTATCCTGATTGTTAACCTCTTCAGGTTAGTTTTTTTTTTTAACTATATATATAACCTCACTTGGCATTTGTGTGTGTGGCTTTTTTCCTTTGGCATTCTGGTATGAGCTACATCCATGTTGTTGCATATACTTGTAGTTTGTTCATTCTTATTCCTGTATTCACGGTGGGATAAAAGTAGGTTTACAGATGTATGTATGTGAAACAGAATTTATTCTTGTATTATTATTTACTAATCATTGTATTATTTTTCATATGTACAAGTATACTAGTAAACCTACTTTTGCCCCATCCTGTATTATTCAAATTGATGAATATGCCACCATTTTAATGTATATATTTCACAATTGATGGGAATTTGGATATTACTTTATTCTTGGTTATTATAAAAACTATTACTATGAACATTCTCATACATGTGTTTAATAAACTTACATATGCATTTCTACTGGGTAATATCTAGGACTGAAATTGCTGGGACAGATATTATATGCTCTACTTTATAGTTTATAGCCAAATAATCTTCTAAAGGGATTATTCTTTTCTTTTTATAGATTTTTTATTGATTTCAGAGAGGAAGGGAGAGGGAGAGATAGAAACATCAATGATGAGAGAGAATCACTGATCAGCTGCCTCCTGCATGTCCCCTACTGGGGATCAAGCCCACAATGCTGGCATGTTCCCTTGACTGAAATCAAACTGGGGACCCTTCAGTCCACAGGCCGATGACACTCTATCCACTGAGCCAAACCAGCTAGGGCAGCGGTTATTCTAATTTACACTCCCACCAGTGTGTATTAGAGACCAGATGCCACTCATCCTTGCCAACATTTGGGATATTCTGTTTTATTTTGTTTCATTTTTATTCTTCTGAGGCATGTATAATAGTATTACATTATCATTTCAATTTTCATTTTCCTGGTGACAATTAGGTTAAACACATTTTCATGTTATTGGTCATTGGGATAACATCTTATTGAAGTGCTTGCTCAAATACTCTGTCCGTTTGTCCAATACTTAAAATACTGGTTCTTTGACTAGTGGGTCAAGTAGAATGGACCATAGAAGTGGTGGCAATGATCATCCTTGTTTTACTTCTGAACTCAGAAGGACAGTTTTCAACATTTCATTGTAGGTATGATGTGTACCATAGGGTTGTTGTTTTTTTAAAACTAGTTTCACCAGATTAAGAAAGTTCCTTTCTACTTCAAGTTTCTTGGGTAGTTGTATCATAAACAGGTGTTACATCTTATTTACTGATTTTTCTGAATCTATAAAAATAATTATACAGTTTTTCTTGTTAATTCTGTTAATGTGATGACTTACATTGTTGTCATTTTTTCATCCCTTGCAAGTAACCTGGTCATGAACACTATGCTTTTTATATATTCCTGGATTTTGGTAGCTAATATTTTTCAGGATTTTTGTGACTATATTCAGAAGAGAGGTTTGCCTGAACTTTTTCTTTCTTGGAATATTCATGATAGTTTTTGGTATCCAGATTATACTGTATGCATAAAACAAGTGGGGAAGTTTTTGCTCCTATGTTTTCTGAAAGAACCTGTGAGATTATTATAATTTCTTACTTAAATGTTTGGAAGAGTTTATTTGTGGTGCCATCTGGGTCTGAGATCTTATATGTGCGTGCATACAAACGCTGTAAATAGTAACTATTATTATTATTACTATTAGCTAAACATTAGCTACTATATTTGAGAATTCAAACCTGGTTCATAGTAGACATTCAATTGCTTTCTTGTTTTGTTTGTATTGAACATAAATTCAGTTTTCATATGGATGGAATTATACATTTACTAGAGGCCTGGTGCACAAATTTGTGCAACAGTGGAGTCCCTCGGCCTGTCCTGCAGGATCGAGCCGAAACCAGCTCTCCGACATCCCCCAAGGGGTCCTGGATTGCAAGAGGGCACAGGCCAGGCTGAGGGACCCCCACCGGTGCATGATCAGGGCCGGGGAGGGACACGGGAGGTTGGCCTGATGAGGAGGGACTGTGGGAGGGCTCCAGGGCATGTCTGGCCCATCTCGCTCAGTTCCAATTGGCTGGACCCCAACTGCAAGCTCACCTACCAGTTGGAGTGTCTGCCCACTGGTGGTCAGTGCATGTCATAGCAAGTGGTTGACCGGTCGACTCTCTGCCCCCTGGTAGTCAGTGCATGTCATACCGAGTGGTTGAGCGGCCTTAGCATATTATGGTTTGATTGGTTGAACAGCGACCGGATGACCAGACACTTAGCATATTAGGCTTTTATTATATAGGATAGTAACATATACCACATTTCTTTTTCTACAACAGAAAGTTCAGAAACAATTTTGCTTTTCTTTTGATAGCACTACTTTCATGCAACTGTATTGTACTTATGTACAATCTGAAATTTTTAAAAAATTATCTGAACAAGCCAACCAAAGGATAGACTTCCTTACTAGTGCTTGTCAGTTACATATTGATATTAATACATAAAAATATATGCATGTATTTCCACTTCTGTTGGTTTCTACTTTTCTTTAACAAGTAAAGAAAGCATGGCAGATGTTTGGTGACCTGATGTACTCGGAAAAATAAATAAATGAAAACATAAAGTTTTTTGTTATCCATTGAAAATCAGTGTACATAAATAAAAAATTTGAAAGTCATTGGCTTTGAAGGTAGTTCTGAAAACCAAGTCAATACTTAGGATTTTAAATTGCAGTTTTATAAGATACTCACTGCATGATAGATTTCAGGCTGCTTCATGTGTCCAATGTCATTCAAGGTTGCAAATAAATTTGGCCTTTCAAAAGCAAGATGAATGACAAAAATTCTCTGACACATAGCAAGTCTTTCAGGTTCGGCATGACAAAAGTTCAATGATATCATCCAGGCTATCAATCCATCTGTAATGACAGACTGTAGTCTCTTCAAGAATTACATATGATATTTGCAAGAACAGTGTTGCATTTCTGGTTGTAGGACAAATGCAACAGAACTGCAAACACGTTAAAGGCCTGTTCAATTAATTAACAAATAAACTATACATTTCTCTTTTAAAAAATGTGTGAATTTGAGCTCCTTTTATTTGTTTGCTTTCCTAAGCATGCTATCATTCTAAAATCATGTAATACATTTAGTCTGTGTTTATACAGTTTTAGTAATAGCTTATACTGCTTTTAGAAACATAGCAAATGCTGAACAGAGAAGACACAATGCAGAGTAAAAAGGCAAAATTAAAAGTGCTTTAATTTTACATCTTTCTCTAAACCAAATGTATTTGGCTCAATTTAGCATGTGTATTTTTGTTTTAAAAGGATTGGGTGTTTGCTTTGTGAAAATTACCCCAAAAGTGCACACACCTCTTATGTGTTATAGTTATTTTCAAATCAATAGGCTTCATGAAGTGATGACCTAAGCTTGTTATTGCAATTAGCTTTGATAACAAATCAGTCGATTTCTCTTTAGGTACCAGGTTTAATGTAATTCTCTATAGGTTAAGGTAAGATACGGCATTAATCAACATGCCCAAAATACAATTAAAAATGTACTTAAATAATGTTCTGGGTCTTTATGACCTCATTTTGGGATTATAGAATTATACATGAAGTATACTAACAATACAAATATTCTGTAGGATTAGATAATGCTAATAGAATAACTTCTATGCATGGTTTTAAATTCTAGAATTTTCCTTAAAATGCTGTATACATGGTTTCATTCTAAGACTAGAGCAACTGGGTCTATTCCTAGTCACTAGGAAACAAACTGAGAACCTCAAAACAAAAATCTTGATCTTCATGAATTTCCTGAGACACAATCAAGTTCCTACTTAAGTACTATTCCTTATCAGTGGTGGAGAAAAAGAAAGAAGAAATGTGGAAATGTGTTAGACCACCTACTGGAGAAAGTATCAGTGATCATTCCTTGGGAGCCAGTGACTTCCTTACTTACATGGCCACTGTACAAAAAGGAAGAGACAATCACAGCTATAATGCAATAGAATATTGAACTTCAGGCTCTGAGGATCTAGGTTTGAATCTTAGTTCTACCACTTATGTGACATACCATGTTATTCCCTTCACATTTGCGAGGCTCTTCTTATTCATTCAAAAGGGGATATGATGATACATCATAGAAATGTTGATAAGTATAGCAATGATAATACCTATGAAATGCCTTGTAAATTTTGAAACCCAATATAAATGCATTCTCAGGGACTAAATATAAATGCTTTATTTTTTTCTTTCATATTTCCACTAAATGAATTTTACAAAAGATTTCGCAGAAGTTCATCTAACAAAGGGAATTGTGGAAAAAAGTTACATTTTGATAGGAAACACTTACATTACACAATAACTACTTTAAATAAGTGAAACCAGAGACATTGAAAAATGAGATATTATAGCATATTCTTTTAATGCAGCCTATATTTCTAGAGATATATTTATTTTTAAGAATTTTTCAAAAGGGAAACTATTAAAACTAAAGTCATGCTAACTTTAAGTGTATGTCAGATCTCACTAAATTTGCAATAAATCAGTGAAGTTAACTAACAATTTTAAAATTATCTCCTTGCAATTGTGCTATATGTTAATAATTGGGATATGTTTAAAAATATTTTGGGGT